CCCCAAATATCACCCCCACACCCGCTAATCACAGACCACCGCCTCACCCTATTTGCTCTAAACTTCCGCCAACGGCCGTTAGCAGTGACCTGTAACACCGGAAATAAACAGCCGTCCGACCACGCCAGGAAGAAACATGGCCGCGCCCGATGGGATCACGTCGCCGCCATCTTTTATACTCGGTTAGAACGTTTCAATGTTAAAGGAGCGCCGCACTGTCGGAGGGTCAGTTCTGAGGGAGCGGGCACTGTCGGAGGGTCAGTTCTGAGCACTGAGCTATTACTATCCTATTGATGAGATTAGAGTTTAAACAGAGAGCTACTCTATGCATGTCCTATAAAATGAAATGAAGCTCTCACTGTTCTGAAGGCAGATGTGGACAGTTCTTCCCAGTATCTTGCTCAGTCAATATTTATCCTTCAAACATACTCTTTTGAGTAGATTATCTGGTCATGTTCATGTTTCAGAATTTTGTTCTGACATTACAACATTGACTGTGCTTCAAATATGTCTTCCTGAACTGTTGACGTATCAAATACATGATATCAGTGCTGTTGTCTCCTCTATCAGTCATCTTCAAAGTGTGTACCAAGAGCAAATGTAGGCCACTGAAGACCCTCAAGCCTACTGCTTCACTCAATAAGATCATCCCTGATCTGGTTCCTCCACATTCCTTTCTACCCCAAGTAACCTTTTTTTGACACCCTTATTCATCAAGAATCTATTCTTCTCTGCTATAAAAAATATTCAAAGATTCAGTTTCTAGCACCTTTAGAGGAAAACAGCTTCAAAACTAAGTGCCTCTCTCTGAGGGAATTAAATGTTACCTCTGTCTTTAAATGGTCAGTGCTTATTTTTAAGCAAGGCCACCTAATTCTAGAGGAAACTTCCAGAATCACGGAATTGTTACACTCGGCCAGTGGTACTTACAATGGCTCTATTATTTTGTGCCGATGCCTGACCTTTTTCCCCAATATCTCTTCTTGTGATTTCTATCCAAATAACCATCCAATGCCCTCTTGAATGCCTCCGTTGAACCTGCCTCCACCACATTACCAGGCAGTGTATTCGACACACTGACGACTTGCTGCGAAAAAGTTTTCTCTCACGTCACCCTTGCTTCATTTGCACATCAGGTTAAGCCTATGTCCCTCTTAATTTTCAGAGTTATAGAGATGCACAGCACGAAAACAGACCCTTCGGTCCAACTCGTCCATGCTGACCAGATATTCTAAATAAATCTAGTCCCATTTGCCAGCATTTGGCTCATGTCCGTCTAACCCATCCTATTCATATATCCATCCAGATGGGTACCTGATCCAGAATTTTTGACCATGTCAATACTCACTACAGGATTCGGGGAGGAATGCGAATAAATTTTACAGACGCAGGGTAAATTGGACTGTATTTTACCAGCTTTATTGGATTGGTGCCTGGAATGAGTGGGTTATCTCATGGGGAAAGGTTGGACGGATTGGGCTTACTCCCACTGGAGTTTAGAAGAACAAGGGTGACTTGATTGAATGGTGTAAGATGCTGAACGGTCTTGACAAGGTAAACCTTGGAGTGATGTTTCACCTTTTGGGTCAGCCCAGAGCCATTAAAAATGAGAGAGTTATCCTTCTAGGATGGTGGGGGGTGCGGGGTGGGAGGTGAGGGCGTTCTGTTTCTCTGAATTGGGAAATATCTGCCGCAGAAAACAGTAGAGACGTGGTCATTAAATATTTCTAAGCCGAATTTGGATAGATTTTTGTTAGGAAGGGCCACCAAATTTTATCAGGGATGGATGGGGATGTGGAATTCGAAACGCAAACAAGGTATTCTTTAAAATATTGTCTGATCAACCTTTTCAGAGATGCTCTGGAGCAGGTGGAAGTTGAACCCAGGTCTCCCGATTCAGAGGGAAGGACTCTACCACGGCACCTCGAGCCCTCCACATTCAAATTATTGGCTGGCAGAGAAGGCTTGAGGGGTAGAATGGCGAACTTGTGCTCCAGGTTCCTATGCCCCAACTACCGCTTGAATTGAATCACTTGCTAGGCCATTTCATAGAAACATAGAAAATCAGTGCAGGAGTAGGCCATTCGGCCCGTCGAGCCTGCATCACCATTCAATATGGTCATGTCCGATCATGCAATCTTAGTATCCCATTCCCACTTTCTCTCCATATCCTTGGATCCCTTTAGCTGCAAGGACCATGCCCAGCTCCCTCTTGAACATATCAAATGGACTGGCCCCAAAAGCTTCCTGTGAGAGAGAATTCCACAGGTTCACAGCTCTCTGAGTGAAAAAACTTCTTCCTCTCAGTCCTGAATCAGACTGTGACCCCCTAGTTCTGGACTTCTCAACATCAGGAACATTCTTCCCACATCTGGCCTGTATATATATATATATATATATATCCCCACATAATCCATATCCCCACAGCATTAGCTTCAGGATTGCCAATCCAACAACATTGGCCTTCATAGCAAAAGGATTCAAGGCCAGAAACGAAGATCGTTTGCTGTAGTTATACAGGGCACTTGTTGAGGCCACGCTTAGAATTTTTTTTAAAGTTCATTTTGTGGGATGTGGGTGTCGCTGGCTGGCCAGCATTTATTGCTCATCCCTAGTTGCCGCTTGAGAAGGTGCTGGTGAGCTGCCTTCTTGAACCGCTGCAGTCCACCTGCTGTGCGTTGACCCACAATACCATTAGAGAGGGAATTCCATGATTTTGACCTAGCGAATGACGATATATTTCCAAGTCAGGATGGTGAGTGGCTTGGAGGGGAACCTGAAGCTGGTGGTGTTCCAATATGTCTGTTGCCCTGATCCTTCAAGATGGAAGTGGTCATGGGTTTGGAAGGTGCTGCCTGAGGATCTTTGGTGAATTGCTGCAGTGCATCCTGTAGATAGTACACGCTGCTGCTACTGAGCATCGGTGATAGAGGGAGTGGATGCTTGTGGATGTGGTGTCAATCAAGCGGGCTGCTTTGTCCTGGATGGTGTCAAGCTTCTTGAGTGTTGTTGGGGCTGCACTCATCCAGGCAAGTAGGGAGTGTTCCATCACACTCTTAAGTTGTGCCTTATAGATGGTGGATAGGGAGTCAGGAGGTGAGTTACTGGCTGCATTATTCGCTGCAGTTTTGTTTCCTTATCTCCTTATCTAAAGACCGGTGTTCTGGCTATAGAGAGAGTGCAGCAAAGGTTTACCAAATTGATTCCTGGGGTTGCAGGACTGACAAATGAGGAGAGATAGTCAGATAGGATTGTATTCCTGGAGTTTAGAAGAATGAGGGGCTATCTCGTGGAAACCTATACAATTTCATGATTCTGTGACTAAACAGGTTAGATTCAGGAAGGATTTTCCAGATGGTGAAGGAGTCCAGAACCAGAGGTCATAGTTTAAGGACAAGGCATAAACCTTATCCGTTTGATTTTATAAACTTCAATAAGGTCATCCCTTAACCTCCTACATTCCAGTGAAAATTGTCTGTCTTTCCAGCCTATTTTTATATCTCAAAACTCTCCATTCTCAGCAGCAATCTGGTAAATCTTTTCTGAATCCTGTCCAGTTTAATAATATTCTTCCTTTAACAGGACAACCAGAACTGCACACAATACTCCAGAAAAGGCCTCACCAACGTCCTGTACAACATCAACATGATGTCCCGACTGCTATACTCAAAAGGTCTGAGCAATGAAGGCAAATGTGTTGAATGCCTTCTTAACCATCCTGTCTACCTGTGACGCAAATTTCACAGAGTTATATACCTGAACCTCTGGGTCTCTCTGTCCTACAACACTGCCCAAGGCCCTATCATTAATTGTATAAGACCTGTTATTGTTTGTATTACCAAAGTGCAATACCTCACATTATCCAAATTAAACTCCATCTGCCACTCCCTAGCCCATTGATTCAATCGATCAAGATCTCTTTGTAATCATAGATAATCTTCTTCACTGTCAACTATACACCAATTTTGGTGTCATCCGCAAACTTGCTAACCATGCCTCCTTTGTTCTCATCCAAATTGTATATATAAATGACAAACAAAAGTGGACCCAGCACTGATTCCTGTGGGATCACTACTGATCACAAGACTCCGGTCTGAAAAACAGCCCTCAACCAACGCCCTCTGTTTCCTACCATTAATCCAATTTTGTATCCAATTGGCAAGCTCCCCCTGAATCCCACGTGATTTAACTTTACTAATTAGTCTACCATGCAGAACCTTGTCAAAGGCTTCACTAGAGTCCTCTTAAGCATCGCTGCTTAGAGATAAGCAACCCCGAATTCTGCAACCCCTCTCCCGGTCTAGGATTCAGAATCATTTGTAGTAACCTCTCTAGTGCCTTGTCCAAGGACTTGATGTGGAACAGAATGCTCTGGCTAAGGCAGCTGTATGTGTACCTTGCCTTTAAGAGAGTTCACCTTTAAAGACTCGATATTCTTTGTGTAACTACTGTTGCGACTCTGCCTGACAGTTCTTGTGCTCTGTGTCTGCAGGCTGCATCACTCAGAAATGATCTGGGGGCTTGGGTTCGAATCCCACCACAGCAGATGGTGTAATTTGAATTCAATAAAAAATCAGGAATTAAGAGTCTAACGGTGACCGTGACACCATTGTCAGTTGTTGGGGAAAACCCATCTGTTTCACTAATATCCATTAGGGAAGGCTGTCCCTGTTTGTCCTGGCCCACATGTGACTCCAGACCACAACAGTGAACTTTCAACTCTATTTGGGCAATTTGAGATGTGCAATAAAAGCTTGCCTAGCCAACAACGCCCACAAATAAAAACAAAACTTCCTTGCCCCTGTCTGCCCTGAAGTTAGCAGGGTCCAGGGTGGGGAGGGGGTGGGGTTCTCTCGAGGTGGGAGTCCTCCCTTTCACCATTTGGTAAGGGAGGGTGTCACGGCTCCCATCTGAAAAGTTGATAACAACTAACAATGGAAAGAAGGGACAATGAGGCACATTATAATGCCTCCTACTTAACCCATTGCACAAAATAAGCCTATTTCACGAAATAAGTTGTTCACTTTGGAGAGGGAGAGCAAAAGAATAGGGTATTATTTAAACAGAGAGAAACTGCAGAAAGCTGCAACACAGAGGGACTTGTGCATGAACCACAAAACGCTAGCACACAGGGGCAGCAGGTAATCAGGAAGGGTCAT